GGCCAGTTCTGTTGTGCTCAACCCAGCCTCCTTCTGTTGGCTGGTTTCCTGCCCCGTTGGGGCAAGCAGGGCATTATAGTCTCTAGGAGTCCTGCAGGGGGCTTTCCTGTGAGCCATTCCTTTCTAGAAGGGATTTAGAAGCTGCAAACCCATTAAGATGTGTCCATAGCCCTGCCTTGAGCGGAACTTTCAGGAAGATTCCCAGTTGAGTGGGGATGTCAGGAACAGGGATGGAAGCATGGGTAATGTGCTCTGGCTTCTTAGAGTGGGGGTGCGTGCTCTTGTGTATGGGGCAAGGGGAGGGGGTGCCAGGAAGGGTGGTTGCTAACTTGGCCCTGGCAAACCACCATTTTAAGCAGAACCAGAATTGCTGGCACAAATTGTTTTACCAATTGGTAGATAGGTAGATACAACTACTGCAGTGAGATGCTTCAGGCTAAATTAAAGAAACCACATGGGGGGGAAAAAAATCCCAGACCTTCTTCCTCACTTCCCTCCTCCCCCCAAACCCTCTGTCTTCAGTAGGGAGTACAGTCCCTCACTGGTTCCCCATAAGCATGTCCAACCCCTCACAGTCTTTTATTATCCTGAGAGGCACTATGATGGCAGCAAAGGCCAATTTGGAGGGCTTTAGTGCTCCTCCTCCACCCCCATACTTTTTCATTGCTAACCAGTTTAAAACATCTCAAATAAACATGCAGTCTTAATAAAAAAAACAGTGCTTTCTCTGTAAGCAGGCTGTCCGGGGAAGTACTACTTAGACTTTACTGTGCATATATATTACCTCTGGATCTTGTTAAAACGTAGAGTCAGGTTCAGTAGGTCTGGAGTGGGGCTCCAAGCCCCTGCAGTTCTAAGAAGCTCCTAGGTGCTGCTCACTGGGAAACCAGTGCATGGAAGCCGCGGGCAGCCCCACCTCTGCCTCCCTTCAGCCAGCTAAGCCCCTTCTTCAAGGACTCCTGAAGCCCCACTGTGTGAGGGTCTGAGGGGAGAGGGAAAGGGCGTCTCAACATGGCTCCTTAGCCAGCATTTCTTGCTTTTTCATATTCTCTTCTCTCTGAATTATAATTCTCTCTTTTATTTATACCCCCTTTGCTCTCTTCTCTCTTGCTTTCTCCCACGGGCTCGCCAATACAGCTAGGCCATGTAAGACACAGTCATTGGGGATTTTGTTCCATTCTGGTACAATGTGATTCCCCTGTGAAGGCTGAGTGTTTTCCCCTCATGCATCCTCTGTTTCTGGCTGCTTCTCTTGTAATTCCTGATGTACTCTTTGGTCAGAGGGAGTGTGGGCTTGAGGGGCAGAGTGGCCTACCAACCAACACAAACACACACACACACACACACACACACACACACACGCACTCACACGGCCTCTGGGCTCTGCCAGGAACTGTCAGGAGTCATGTTACTTTCTGGGTCTTGGTTTCTTTATGTCTATACTATGTGGCTGAGCTGGTAAATAGCTGAAGGCTCCTCTGTTTTTAACATTCTTTGATTCTAATTAATCAACGAGCATATTTTAGGTCCTCTGAACAGAATCTGAAGATAATTTTTAAACATAACTCTATCCCTTCCTGTGTGTCTTTGGGATGATAATTTACCTTCTCTAGGCCTTAGTGCCATGTTTACATGTTGAGTGATGATGAGAGTCACCTCATCTGGGCAAATTAGGACATAAATAGGGCCTTAGATGTAAAGGGGTCTAGCATAGTTCTTGGCAAAGTAAGTATCTTAGTCAGCTTGGGTTGCTATAACAAAATACCATCGACTGAGTGGCTTAAACAACAGGCCTTTATTTATCACAATTCTGTAGGCTGGGAAGTCCCAGATCAAGATGCTGGAAGATTTGTTTTTTGTAAGGACCCTCCTCCTGGCTTACAAAGGGCAACTATTTTATTATATGCTCACATGACCTCCTCTTTGTACATGTGTGTGGAGAGAGGGAGAGAAACAGAGGGAGCGAGGACACTCTGGTATCTCTTCCTTTTTCTGTGAGATACTAATTCCACAATGGGGGCACTATCTTCATGACCTCATCTAACCCAAATTATTTTTCAAAAGCCCTACTGTCACATTGGAGGTTAGAGCTTCAACTTCTAAATTTTGGGGGGAGACAAATATTCTGTCCATAACAGTCAGGATTAGTCAATATAGTTGAATTGGTTTGTTTGTCTGGGAAGATTCAACAGACTGCCTACCATGTGTTAGGAGCAGTGAAGTTGTACTGCCGAGGTGTAGGGAGAAATCAGATGTGGACCCTGCCCCCTCCAAGTCAGCTGGCACAGAGGTTCTAGGTTAGAGGGTGCAAGGTAGCAGCCAAGAAGGAGACCAGGGAGAGCAGATCCTAGGATCTGAAAAATAAATAAAGCAGAGGGGTGGGAGATGGTGAGTGGGGAGGACATGCATGGAATCTCAAAGCAACTCTTGATAAGTAGGCATTGGCAGGAGGCCCCAAAACATTCTCTGACCCTTCCACACTGAGAATGCATGTCTGTGGAGAAAGAGAAGCAAGAGGGATAAGAATATGGAATGTCAGTGCCTGACTCAGGGCCTCCAGATAATAGAGATGTTTGAGACTTTTGATGGTTTCGGGGTGAGCACCAGGAACCCCAGAGATAAACTACTTGACTCCTTCAATGTCTTAATCATTCTGGCTGGGAAATTGGAAAGTACTGAGGGGTTGTGCAGAGGAGGGAAGCTATGATGACAAGGAATTTCATCCTAGATAAGAACAATAATAGTGATGATGACCCCTTAAATTAGTGTCAGGACATTTTGCAAGGGGATGGAATCGGTGCCTTTGTTAGTATCATTTTTGTTAAGATTTCAAGATTCCTTCTTGGTGTCATTTAAGAAAAATCTGTTGAAAAAAATACAGTACACAGGTGACTGGTCAGTGATATGTGACCATGCTGCCTTCTGCTTCTGTTGAGTTACTGTCATGATAACATGGGCAAATCCTGAAAACCTTATTTGAGATGTAGTTATTTCATCTGGAAATGAAGGATGACCTTTGTGATCCTGGTGGGCATGTTCACTTAAATATTAGATGACTCCCAACATTGCTCACAAAAATAAAGTGGTATTGGTAGCATTTTTGCCTGATGCCTTGTAGGGTTCAGAACACCTCGAGATGTGCCTCTGTGGTATGAGGATTATTTTGAGTTAAAAGCAACTGAGACCCTGCGGGCTCAGGAGAAATACCTGTTCCTTCCCCCTTCTCCCCTTTAGATATTCCTCTAAATACATAGAAGAATTTAAATTAGGGGCTTGGCCCATGATAAGAGTTATCACTACAAATAACATTTCATGCCCTATCTATGTGGCAGGGCAAACAACTAATTACTGAACAAGTGCTCTCCCTGCAATTACCTTCTGAAGGCCCAAGATGCCTTACTTTGTAGTTCAGAATGTCATATAATACCTCATTTTCCCTTTCTGTCCCTGAACCTTTCAGGTATGTGGTGGTCTCATGTGGGGCTCCCATCCATATGCATGTAATTAAATTTGGTCATTTTCTTTTGCTAATCTGTCTCATGTCTATTTTATTTTATTGATTGATTTTAGAGGGAGAGAGAGAAATATTGATTGCATTGTTTGACTTATGTATGTGTTCATTAGCTGATTCTTATATGTGCCCTTTCTGGGGATAGGACACACACCTTCACCTATGGAGACACGCTTTAACCAACTGAGCTCCCCGGCCAGGGCCGTTCCCAGTCTCTTTGATTAGAGCAGTGGAAAGAACCTTGAGGGTAAGGGAAAGTTTCTTCCTCCCCCAGGATCTGGAGTCTCTGATCTCCATTTCTGTAGGGGGAGGAGAGGCTGGGGATAGTATTTCCATTAAGGGAGTTTTCATAGCCCTTTTCACTGACCTCTGTGTTAGTGTCTAGGTAAAACAAGGGACAAATTCAAAGGCCCCCTCTAGAGTCCCATTTTGGGTCGTTCATTTACATCAGTTTGTAGTGCTCGGCAGGCCAACTCTTTCACGGGTTACAAGTTACCACACGTGGCCACTATTGGTTTTTAAAAAGGCAGCCTGATGCAAAAGCTAGGCAAAAGCTGGTGACGGGCCGAAGAAGGAGGGCTAGGGTGCCAGCCCGGATGGCCCCCAGGCGACGCGCACGCACCGTGAATCCCGGGGAAGCGTGCGCCCGGCGAGCAGCGGGGCCGCGCACGCCGGCAGAGGAGCCATTTCCGGGCGGGGAGGGGCGGGGCCGCCCGCGGCCGAGCCTCTAATCTCGGCGGCCGTGGCGGCGGTGGCGGCAGGGGGAGCCCGTGCCTCGCCACTCACGAGTCGGTGGCGCGGAGAAGGGGACCGTGGCAGGAGAGGGTGTCCGAGGGAAGGTGCGGGGAAGCTGGTTCCGGGTTGAGGAGGTAGAAGGGGGCGCCCGGCTCTGGAGGAGGGAGCGTAGTCCGGTTTGGGGAGGAGGGCTTCGGTCGGGACCGAAGGGGAGGCGGGTCTTGGCTTGGGAGAGGAGAGTAGGGTCCGGACTCGGGGGGATACGGGACTTGGATAGGAGGAGTAAGGAGAGGAGGAAGGGCCCGCGGGGATTAAGGGACTAGCCCCTGAGGGCGGGCTTGGCTTCGGGCAGGAGGGGGCGCGCCGACCGCCGAGGTCTGGGTGAGTGCAAGGTTTGCGAGTAGGTGGGAGAGGGCGCTAGGGCCGGGAGGGGGCGGGATCTGAAATTCCACTCCCCGCGGACTGGGGCTGGATGATTTGCTAATCTTCCCGAGAGAGGAAAGGGTTCTGAGGAGGGAGGGATGAAGAGAGCCAGGCCAGCTGTTAATAAAGAGAGTCCAGTGGAGGCTGGACCCTGGGACTGGGCTGCCTTTAACGTCCGATTCTCCGCGGGGTTAGGTTGAATGGGCTGGGTTCGGGGTTTCCAGGCCCTTGGTCGAGGACGGGCTGGGCGGTGCCCCTGGTACCTACCTGGGGGCATTGCTTTGTGAGAAGCTAGGTCTGGATTCGTTTGGTCAGCTGTCTGAGGGAAGCCTAGTGCCAGCAGGGTTCTGATTCGCTGCTTTGGGGTGCTGGGGGTGGAGTGTGATATCTGGGAGTGAAACCCGAGCTCTCAAAGGAGGGAGAGAACCATTTCTTGACTGATCTGGCTAAGCGAGGCGGGTCGACGCGATAGTTAAAAGCTTTAGAAGTAAACAAACTTGGTTCCCTTTCGCAGAGGGGAGGCCCTAAAGGTGCGGCTGCAGGAGGAAGATGCCGAGTATGGACCTTCTGATGTTGGTGAGTCTTTTGCCAACGTCCTCCTTGTCGTAAGGCACTTGTCCCTTAAGTTTTATTTTTAGTCCACGGGATCTTAGTGTGTAGATTTCACCTCTGATGCTTGCTCTTGGTAGCTGAGCATTTCTGCCACCTTTATTTTGGGTTTAACGATTAAGATGGAGAACTAACTGAATTAAATATGTAACTAATAATGAAAAAGAATCTTTTTCAAAATTCTTGCAGTTGGTTTTAGTCTCTCCCTTCCCATATTACCATGGCAGTTTTACAACTTCTATTATATTTTGTTGGGGTCTGCCATATATTAGAGTTTAGAAGTGTTTGTCTCCCAGAATAGTTATGATTCCTGGGAAGGCAGACATGTCATATATATATACACTTATATATATATACACTTATAAACACTTATTGTGGTGCTCTGTAATAGTAAGTACTTAACAGATGCTTGTTGAATTGAATTAGCTTGAATTTGAGTGTTTTGTTGGGCTGAGGAATGTACCTGCTTTGGGAGAGGCAGCATTTTCCTTTCTTCCTGAGATCTTTCTGTGCTGCTTTCTCACCGAGCAGAGAGAATAGCATTGCCATGTGAGTGTTTACCAAAATGACATTATATTCTTGGGACATTTATGATTCCATAGAGCCTCTTTAGAGGGAGATTTGTGGGGAACCCAGGATTTTAAAGTAGCTGTACAGAAAAAGTGTGTCTGCGTTTAATTTTTGTAAGTCACTTGACTGAATCCAGGGTCTCTGTACAAAAACATGTATTTAGAAACAATTCCTTTCCCTTTCTTCATCTAACTATTCCAGAGGGTTGGTAGCCGTCCATTGGGAAATTGGCAAAAACTAGTAGTGAGTTTTTTTTGTAACCGGTGCTGACTTCCTATAGTGGCAAAACCTGTAAGGTCTGTGGGAGATAATGAGGGAAACTAAGTTGTGATTAGTTCTGGTTTGAGGTTGGGAGCCAGGATGATTTCAGAGACATACATACTTGCTTTAGCCACAGATTCTGAAGATTTCACCAAAAATAGTTTCTTGCCTCAAGTTTCATGACTTGTCAATAGATAATAAATAGCCTTATGCAATTCTAAATGCCTACTGTAAGAACAATATGTTAGGAAATAATGGAAATTAGAAATAAGCAAACGGAAGAAACCCCCCCAAATTCCACTGCTCAGAGAGAGCCACTGGTAACACCTTGGGGGGTTAATGGAGAATGATCTGTAACAATTGACAGTTTCCATTTTTCCTCAGTGTGTTTGTATAAATTAAGCTTCCTGTGTATAAGTAGGATATATTCCCTTGCCCAGAGGTGTGTGTGTTACTTTTTGGGCCTTTGTGTTCCCTTAAAAAGCCAGAACAGTGAGCGCTTTTATTCTGAATATTAACTTTGGCATTTGTTTTCTTTTGAAGTATTTCTGTAGCTTCTGCCACTACTTTTTACTTTCTCATGTGATAATGTAAAATTTTTAGGGGTGTTGCTTTGCTTGATGGTGAAGGCATTCACATGGATAAGGACTGGCCCTTGAGGATCATCACTCCTAAGATACTACATAACAGTGGTTGAGGTGCTTTCACTGGAAAAATTGTCTTTCCTTCCTTGTCTGTACTGTGCTATTTGAATCTACTTCAGTAGCTTCAAATGTACAGAACCAATAACCAGGGGTGGGTTTTCAGTGGGGGTGCTAAACTGTTATGAACTGAGTTCAAGGTATTTCTCCAGGTACTCATACAAATGTGTAAGACATACTCTTTGCCCTCTAACTGGGGAAGAAAGGACTCCAGTTAATAAAAATAACCTCAGTGCAGGGCAGCAGATTGAAGGAACTCAGAAACAGTCGTAGAAGTCATATGATGCAGCTTCTTATTTTTTGCGTGGATCCATTGTAGAATCTCTGATAAATGGGTATCCAGTCATCCATTTTTTTGTGCTGGGGGAATAGGATGGGCATAAGCTAAGACACAGTACAGGGTGGATTCAGGAAGAATAATGTAGTCCAGCAGCTAATATTTATTGAGCACGTATTACATGTTAGGTAGAGAAATAGATGCTCTACATATTTATTTAATGTTCACAAAAACCCTTTGGAAAGTATACTGGCATCTTCCTTTTATGGTGAAAACCCAGACGTAGGTAGGCTATCACAGCAGGGAAGTGATGGAGCCACATTTTAACCACAGTTGATCTGATTTGAAATCCCTCCCTATCACTTTGTGATGCTGCCTCTGGATCATATTCTCCGTAGGGACGGAGGTTGTTGAACTTTGTGACTGATGGGAGCAGGTTTGTGCAGAGCAGCAGGGGTGGGATAGCTCCATCTTCTAGGGGGCAGTTTGGAAACGTGTATGTGTCTGCCCTTGTGTGTGTTTGTCTTCTAGTATAGTCTTGTCTGAATATACCTGTTTTATTATACAAATATTCCTGTTTACTTTTCCATTGTAGTTAGGGCATTTAAAGTTATGCTTCTAAGTATAATGTTTTAATCTTTGAATTTCATTTTAGAATAATAAAGAGGCATTATGAAATATTTGTTATGAAAAGAGGGCATTGGGTTTCACAAGGTTGCAGACCACATGTGTGGTCAGTATACTATGGTAATAAAACTTGAAGATCAGCTGGAGTCCATGTATGTCAAACCTTGTTCCAGAATAAGGAGCTTGGCCTGTCAGCCTTTAGTGCATTACTGTCCTTAATTTTGCCCCCATTTGATTAGGGTGGTTCGCCTGCCTTTTTCCATTTGCTCCTACATGGTATCTCACAGGCTCTCTGTCTCAGAGAATAAAATGAGCGAGTGTATTCATCTGAGAATTGTGATGCTTTCAGAGGGAATTCAAGTCAGGCAGTGTGTGAGCAATTTTTCTTTACCCTGGCAGTCATTCTTTTTAACCATGTTCTCCTCCTTCGCTAAGCTAGGGTTGCAAGTCGCCAAATGCTCGTAGCTTTTAAGAAATAGCTCAGTTTGTTTTAAAAGCTCAGTCTCCTCCTTAAGTGGCATTTCCCTTTCCCCACCCAGATGAGTAAATCAAGATTACTGCTTGTTCTATAGTAGTGCTGGGTGGGGTTTCACTGAAAATTGTTTATCCAAGGCCAAGGTTCTCAGCCCAGGGTGATTTTGCCCTCCAGGAACATTGGTCAGTGTCTGGAGGCATTTTTGACTCTCATACTTGAGGAGTGCTAGAGGTCAGGGATGCTGACTAAAAATCCTGCACTGCATAGTTTCCCACAACCAAGAATTATCTGGCCTAAAATGTCAATAGTGCCCAGGCCTAGGGTTCTTAAAGTAGAGAGCAGTGTCTGTAGCCCAGGCATTTCTATGGATCACCCCAGGCAGAATGAGGCTTTTCTTGGGTCTGTGATAGTGTTTCTTGGGGTTATTTTGCCCATGGATCAAACGCTGCTGCTTTGGAATATATATTGGAGAATGTACAACCTGGTCTTCTGCAATAGCAACGTTCTTAGGCAGCGTTTTCCTTTGCAACATCTCTGCAGCACTCTTTTTCTTCATTTGGAAACAGTAAGCCTGTCTCAGTTTTGTTTTTCAGGTTCAAAAACTGAATCTTTCCAGGTCTTAAAGCTTTATATCTTTATTAACCTTTGACTCTTTTTCAGAGATGCTTTCTTTCTGAATCTCAATTAGGATTTAAGCAATAAATTGAAAGATCAACACGAAAAGCTCTCATCTAATCTGGTGTCCTATTTGTAGGATTGTCTGGAAGAAAGAGAAAATTGATTGGGACTGGTAGGCTGTTTAAAATTCTGTTAGCAGTTTGGGTGGCCATTGGAGGATGAGCACTCTATTTGGCATTGTTTCAATCTTTATTAAATAAAGCAAAACTATATTAACAAGTATGATAATTTATGCAGCCTTTCATCTAAAGGAAGGGGAATTATAAATAAATAACCTCAAATCCCAATATTTGGTTTAGCTTTGCAGTTTGTGTGTCAGGACTTTTTAGTGACAGTTACCTTCTTAATTAGGCTTTGTCCAACCTAACATTACATACAGTTTATACACAGTGGTGGCAGAATTGGGAATCAGCTTGGGATTAAGAATATCCTATAGGGAATTGATTTGTAGTGAATCAGTCCAGGTGTGGAAACATACAGAACTCAATTACTGAGAGAGAAACCATGCAATAGGGTAAGGGGCGATAGGAACCATCTGGGAAGGCAGAAAGTAGTTCGTTGGGTATATCAGTTATCTCTTGACACACTCCAACAGTATGATTGAGCAGATGAAGGTACTTTTTCAGAGCTGGGTAGAGTTAAGGAAGACCAACAGGGGATGATAAAACAACTCAGGAGTGGAGCCATTGTGGCTCTTAGACCTGAAGGAGCCAGCCAGGAGGGGGAGTAGTTTCCGGAACCTTGGAAGAGCTTAGCTGTAGGAGAGGGTTACCTGTTGGAGTGTAACCACTGCCAGCCAGTGGCTTAGCAGGAAGGGAATCAAGAGGAATAAATACCTTAAACTCTCTTTCCCACCCTGTGATCTCCTGCCAAAGCCTCTTGTTGGTCAAACCCATCTGGAAACCAGAAAATAAGGGAGCCCCGTGAGGCACATACATACCAGAGCTGGAGGAGGTTGAATGGAGGATCTGGAAGAGCAAAGGGAGGGTACCCAGCATGCTGAAGTCAAAGTCAGGTTAGTTCTGAAAGGTACAGCCAGAAGATGCTATCTAAGCAGAGACTGGAATATTACAGAAAAGGAATGTTTTCACCAATAACAGGAGAAGAGATTCAGAGACAAAGTGTTGCCACAGCTTTGGCAAGCCCAGAGTTGCTTTTTTCACTCTAGAACCCTAATTTCCTTCAGAAACCCTGCAGCCTAGCTTCCCTTGCTCTGTAGGAATCCCTTCCACAGTACCCTGCCAGGAGTGGGTGCGGCATACTTTCTCAGGGAGTTCTTTCCATTGTTGACAGCTTTAACTGGTAGAAAGTTATAATTTGTCTAGATCACTGAATATATCAGTTTGGATAAGGTTTGGCTGTGTATAACAGAAAAATC